CTTTTTTTTCAATAGTTCAATAGATATTATCTATTTCTTATTTTTGCCCTTATTGCAATACTATGTACATCGTTCAAAGAAAGATGCAAAGTAATAAGGAAGCTATAAAATATCTTATGATATGTAAAAGAGTAAATTGTGTGAGTTATATTGTGGCAGGTAGTGTGTCTGGTTAATATTTTTAAGCATGCAGATACTCAATTATTGCTTTAGTTCTCATTTACATATGCTAAATAGCAAATAGGGCAGGAGGTGGACACTCAATCTTGCTTTTTGTGGAGCTTCTTCCTAGGCTAGGACCATGTAATGGTTAATAGATTTGCAAGAAAACAAAGAAATGTGAGACCAAGTAATAGTTGAACAGTTTATACCTATAAAGGAACAGTTAATTTTTTGCGAACTTGTAAGTTCTCTACCAATGGAGCTCTTCAACACTTGAAAATCTATGATCGGGGACTTAAAATGTTTAATGCTTCTGCTGCCATGTTTTAGGATTTAGTTACAAAAACTTGGGACATTCTTCTCTCTATTTACGTTTAGAGAGTAAAATTTATTGTGGTTGCAGTCCTTGTACCTCTCCTCTCTCCAATATGGTGTTATGTAGATCTAGGAATACCACAACACATTACATGACTAATGGAATAAGGTTTTCCAATACCCACAACTTCACAATCGATCCGACTATTTGGCAAAAGCAAAATAAAGAGTTTCTAGTTGCTAAATTTGTCTTCATTTTCATCTTTTCTTGCAAGGTGTGCAATTTTTATTAATGGCTTTCTCTTCGATACCTACTATTGTGACTACTCTTTCTTTGATACTTTCTATCGTTGATTCTTTAATTTTGAACTTTCAATCACTTAGCTTAAGTGATTGTTGTATTTGAGAGCAATCATGGTTCAGGTTGTAGAAACTATAGTGGCCGTGGTTGTGCCTGCAAAATTTTTTCTGTCGTCATTGCAGCCTCACTTTTTCCCTTAAAATTCTATTATATTTTCACTACTCGGCATGCTTTTACATTCGGTTCAACTTTACTTTCAACTCATGGTGCCTTCTTAAATCACTTAGTATTTTCAAAAAGTTATCATTGTCTATTCAACGATCACAAAATTTGCCACCTTCTCTCATGTTTTCTCCTTCTTTGGAGCTATTGTAGTTATTTCTAATGATATGTCTCGGATTTTGTATTCATGTATCTTATTTTATAATTTATATGACAAGTAATGACCACTTATTTTTATCTCTTCACATTCCTTTTATACTGCTTATCATTAATGATTTCCCACTTTGTTTCTAGAATCGGCATCCTTCATCTCTATAAATCTCTCTTTCAAAGGCTTTCAATGTACCACATTTTTCATGTATGTTTACATCTATTCACTGCCTTATTAAAACTCATAATTATTTTAACAACCTTTTATTCTTCTTATTGGGTTTCTCTGGGTCTTAGCTAGAGGAAGATCATTTATGTTGGTGTTGAAGCTGGCAACATTTATTCCTCATTGCTTATCTTTTGATACTCACTTTCTTTTCTACCATTACTTCATATCATTAGCATTGATGATAGGGTCATCCTCCTTGCTATAGACTTTAGAAGTATGATTTTATAAACTTCACCTCTTTTTTTATTTTTTATTTTTTTTTATTTTTATTTTTTTGCCTTTATAAGATTCTCATTTTACGTTTACCCATTAAACATTTACTCTCGATGATTTTGACTTTCTTCTATGGGAACACCATAATCCACATCATCAAATTCAATGAGTATCCACTTGTCAATGAATTCCTTAGTTTCCATTTATTAATACTTGCTCATTCTACTCACTCTTATATGATTTTTGATAATATTTTCTTTTCATACTATTGCTTTGCTAAACCATATTAGGAAGCATTGCAAAATCCTCTTTAGGAAGAAACTATGGACCTTGTGATGGGTGCTATACCAGGTGCCTAACTCGGAATTTGTTATCTTCTCCCCCTCGGGATTTGTTATCTTCTACCCCTTATGGGGTTAAATCAATTGCCTACCAATGGTTTTACAAGTAAAATTTCATCCTGATGGTTCCATAGATTAACTCGATGCTTGTTTGGTTTCTAAAGGATTCGCCTAGGTCTTTGAGATAGACTAATATGATATCATCTCCGCAGTTAGGCTCAACTCTGAATAAGTTCTAGTCTTTATGGCGATCATCTAGATCAAAATCCTACAGATGAATGTGAGTAATGTATTCCTTTATGTTGATTTCTGCTGGTTGTTTATATGAAACAATCTTCTGGTGTGCTTCTCATCGGAAGAATCATGCAACTCAATAAAATTATTTATGCCTCAAACAAAGTCCAGTAGTGTGGATTGATAAAATTTTGTAATGTCCTTATTGAGATTGGCTATCACTATTGAACCATAGATGATTTTATCTTCATTAGACAAAGTACCTCAGGGTTTGTCATGCATCTTATTTATGTTGATGATATCTTGCTCTTTGGAAGTGATCTTGATGACATTTGTGAGGCAAAAGTCTACTTACAAAGTGTTTTATCACTAATAATCTGGGAAGACCGAAATGTTTTTTGAAATTGAATGATTCTACAACTAATAGGTGTATCATAAAGAAAACATACTACCAATTATTTTGATGAAATTAGACTTCATTAAACTCTTATCTTATGATTACCCGTAGAATATATAACTAATAGCCGCCCGAAATTGAATGATTCTACAACTAATAGGTGTATCATAAAGAAAACATACTACCAATTATTTTGATGAAATTAGATTTCATTCAATACTCAATAAGATAACAGATAAACTCTTATCTTATGATTACCCATAGAATATATAACTAATAGCTGCCATATTAATTTCAGGTTTCATTGACATGTAAATCATATTTTGGTATGCAATTTACACTTCCTATTCATCATTTTAGAACTCTGAATAAATCAAGAAGTAATAATCCTTAGGTTAATAATCCGACATAATAGTTAAACCATAATAGCATCACTTCAGAAGAAGTTATTATATTTAATTAAAGAGATTAAGATTGGTTAAGGTATGCTAATTCACGTTTTTTTTTTATTTTAATTGAGTTCTTTCAAGGCATTTTTTTATAAAATGCCAATTATATTAATTAGATAATGAATTGAGTAAATTAAGGGCATTTAAAAAGAAATTCTAAAGAAAAAAATGAATACAACTAGACAATAAAAGTTATAAAAATTACATTTGGCTCATCTTACTTGAAACCTAGTAAAGATGGGAGAGTTACTATAAATTTTCTTCTAATTTCTTTCCCTTTCTGGTATAAAGAACATGAAATTTCTTATCTACTTGATAGTTGAAATTGTGGATGTTATAATAAAAAACCAGCCTAAAATAGAGAAATTAAATCGATTTACATCCCATACAATTCCTTCAAAACTAAACATAACCATTAATCATCAAGTTTTCTATTAATTCCATTAATAAAAAACCAGCCTGAAATAGTTGTTTGAAGCAGTACAGTAATCAAAATCTTTTGAAGTGATGGAAACCTAAAAACCATCCCATGGAGAATGAACAAGAAATAAATAAAGGTTCGATTTACCTTTGAGTGAATCCGCCAACAGTAAGCCTCCTCCCATTGTAATCCACAATCCTTCTCTGCTTTCATTAACCACCACTCAAATAACAAGACGTAGAAATAAACCGACACAATGAATAAGAACCAGAGTCGAATATTGAAGCCATCTTGAACGGATGGAGGAGGAAGGAAACCGCACCTCTTTCTGCTGAAAAGGGGGGATGTGAGGGATTTCCGGCTTGAGCTCCGGCGATGCCGAGCAGTCGCCGACATGGACCCCATGTATGAGACCGAAGAAATTGAAGGGCTCCTGGGATACGTTCGGCTCTGCGCGGGTTCAGCTTCGCCAGAAGCTAGGGCAGAAGAGGCTTCGGGAGACGCTGGGGAGCGCGGGGGCAATGGAGACATTATCAGATCATAACACATGGCTACGGGGTCGATCCCACGATCCGCGTTTCGCCTAATTTAGTGGCGGGCGGCCGAGAGCGCGGCATCCAAACGAGAAAATTTTTTTTTTCGCGGTTTAGGGCAGCGCCGTGCAAAAGAAATGGCCCCAAATGGACCTAAAGTCTTGGTAAAGAGATCTAAAATGGAGTGGCAAGAGGTTCTACAGAGCAATCAAGATGAGGAAACAATTTTAACATGCACATCTATAGTAGTATCTCTGTGAGACTTGGTTATGTGATCCGCTAATAATGAAAGCTCTATGATGGCATGCCAAGGGTTAGTGAGCCTAACAAAATAGTCAACTATTATTTTTAGGTTGGATTATAGTATCAATTTTAGGAGATTAGGGTTGGATTTAGTTTGCACTGACTTGACGAAAGAAAAAATATGAAGATCACCAAATACTTTCTTTAGGTCACTCTGATGCCTTCCCTCTCCGTTTTTATCCCTTTTAAGCGTCTGCTCATCTATCCCTTCATCAACATTGAGTGCACCATATGTGGAGAGCATGTCTATGAGGGTTCCTGAATGCAATCTACTAGGGCTTTAAGTGTGCACTGCCGTAGACCTCGATGGATGGAGTGCTATCTACCAAAAAAAATACAAATTCTCTTTGCATTTTGTTTGCATTGTATCGATTGTCCTCTATCAATTATTCCGAACAAATGTTTACTTTTCAAAGTAAAAGTGATTGTCTTGGAGATGTTCCAATGCCCTATTTTCATTGAATTTGCAGAAGTCTTATATGGCTAGCCCACAATTAGCTTTTGAAGTAATGTAATGTTCTTTATGAGACGTGAAGTCTTGAGCATGATCCAAGAAATAGCCAATACCATATACAATAGTTTGCCTCATTGCCTGTGAAATGTTATCGAATTAAATGACACTCTCTTATCAAGAATATGCTTTTTTTTTTATATAAATTTGTCTTTTAATCATTTATGAAATCATCAAAATTTTTCTGGTCTGGTGAAAATTATTTTTTATTTTTTTTAGATTCCTGATGTAAGAACTGGGAAAGAGCAAATAGATGCTGTGGTCGTTGATGAGGAATCTGTTGGATCTTCAAACTCGCATGGATGTGAAGCTAAAATTTTGTATGGTGAAGAAGCACTCGAGCGCTTCCTTTCTCAACAAAATAGCGAACAGTCAATGGTATGTGCTGGTAACCTACATCATTCATTTGCTTCAAAGTCATGCCTGTTGTTAATGTTGACAGCAGTGAAATTTGGTGTTTATTATGCTTTTGATTCCATTTCCACTCTGTATTCATGGATAATGTTACTGCTATGTAACTTTAACATTTTTGCCTGATTAGTTATTTTGTCTTGTGAGAATGATAAAAAATTTAATGTTTCCTTATTTCTTTAATGTTCACAGTTTCAGCTAATGTAATTCCTTTTACACTTATGAATCTTAAATTTTGACACGGACAGAATTTTCCCTGACCTTTGGTTAATTTTTTTCTTTAATTCATCAACTCATTTGGTAGAATTTTTGCAGCTAGTTCCTGGGAAAATAATATATTCGTTTTTTTTTGGGGGGTTGGGGGTGTGACAATTTACACACATGCCACTCAATTCTTATGTATAGGTGTATTTCACTTTTTAAAAGTTAAATACATGCATGCCACTCAATTCTTGTATTTATATATCTAAGAGCTAAACTTCAATTTTTACATACATACCACCTTACCTATCTATGAAAATATGGTAGATTTCACTTTTTAGAAGTTAAATACATGCATGCCACTCACATACATGCTACTCAATTCTTATTTATTTATATATTTAACACCTAACTTCAATTTTTACATACATACCACCTTAGCTATCTATGAAAATAAGGTGTATTTCACTTTTTAAAAGTTAAAATGGTGATATTTTTTATGTTATTACGAAAGATATAGATGTTATAAATGTCAAAAAGCAAAGTTTAGGCGTAAGATGTGTAAATACATAAGATTGGGTGGTATGTATGTAAATGCCTCAATATTTTAATAGGGATTTTTTCTGTACCACATTCTATAATAGGCGCTGACTTGTGACTATGGACCAATCTACTCCAGCAGCACTAGTAGTTTTCTTGGCAAGGCATTTTTTAATGTTTAAATCTTATAAAAGCTACAAATTGTTTGCTATTCCTCATGGAATTTCAATGTGAATTGTCTGAAGGAACACCATATAGGTTATGTTTTCTTTGAAATTTATGTATTTGCAAGAACAGGATTATTCAAGGCATATTTTAGATGTAAAAATCAAAATTATAGCCAGATTGTTTTGCATCAATATTTAAGCACTTGCAGGAACAAATCCCTTTCAAAGGTATGGTTTTTCTTACCCCATTTTGTTTCTTATTTTCAATAACAAATCTCAATCTCATGCTGATTCATTCTCGAGCTTCTAAAAATTGACATATGAGAACTCCACCAGGAATTTCTTTAGAATTAATCCCCAATTTATAACCATGCTTTAAGATTCCATCTTTATAAAGCTGCTTCTACTCATCTTAAGGAAGATTTACATACATTACCACCCAATTTTTATGTATTTACGTACCTAACCCCTATAACCATGCTTTAAGATTCCATCTTTATAAAGCTGAAGATTTACATACATTACCACTCAATTTTTATGTATTTACGTACCTAACCCCCAAACTTTAATTTTTACATGCATGCCACCTTGCATATGCCTGAAAATGTGTATTTCACTGTTTAAAAGTTGAACTGATGGTTTTTTTGATGTGATACAAAAATTTTTAAATGGTATAGATGTTAAACATTAAGTTCAGGTGTGTTTAGATATGTAAATACATAGGAATTGGGTGGTATGTTTGTAATTCGTTCCATCTTTCTCAACTCTTCACTGATCGTTCATGCTAATTACATCCTTAACCCTCATTACTCCAAATCTCATGTTATCTTGTTTCAGAAATCGCTCGAGCAGCTTGAGGGAGAATCTGAGGTGGAGCCAGAGCTTCCTTCAAGAGCTGCCAGCATATAATAATATCCTTTGACAAGTAATTTTCTCTGTACATGACTGCTTTCTATTTTGTTCTTTGCATTTAATACAGTTCTATTTTGTAGTTCTCATCAATTCTTCCTCCCGTTTAAAATAATCTCTTTACCATAAGCGGTTTGAACAGATCAATTATTTTTGGTAAATTATTATTATTATTATTTTTAAATTTTGTCTTTATATCTTGGGCATATGTAGTTTTCTGATGATGGTCTTAAAAAATGGTGGCATGTTAGTACTGACCTATTTTTTTCCTATATTGTGAGAAAATCATTATGTTTGGATCGAAGGTTTGATTTTGGGTTATGATTAAACTTAAAGAGTCATGCATGTCATAAATTGAATTTGGCTTGGCCATATGCTTTCATGTATGTGTTCATGTCGACTAGATAGGGGTTCGTTTGGGGCAGCTTATTTGGTGTCGTGGCGTTTTGAAAACGCACCTGACCTGTTTGGGTAAATTGCATTTTGGCAGCTTATGCGTTTTCAAAATGCTGAAAACAGTGTTTTCACACCACACATGTCTAGGTGCGGTGACAGCTTTCTGACTGCAGTCTGACTTTTCCAAAAAAATAAAAATTTATAATGGGTACCACGCCTAGCTTATCAGCATATTATTTTTAATTATCTTATCAGCAGATTATTTAATAAGCTGCAGCTGCCCCAAACAGATCCTGAGTTGGACTATAGTTCGATGACATTGTGATATTCACAGAAGCAAAAGGGTAACCAGTCGTGTCAATTAAAGTGTAAAGAGAGAGAGAGAGCAAGGCGAAGAGATGAATGAAAATTAACGAACAATATTCTATTGTAATCGATTGTGTCAATTCTTTTTTATCTATAAAATAATTGTTCTATTTAAAAGGAAGAGGATACAAAATGATGATATTGCATTTTTGCCTATATTTAAATGGGATCGTACTAGGACAATATTTTTAGTATTTTATATTTATGGGGACTTATCGTCTGACTGCATTCTGGTTCTGCCAGCTAAACTTATTTGACTTTGGGTTAATAGAGTCAATTCGTTTGGTTGAAATGGGTTGGTCAAACAGGCCGGGTCAGTCTTCCAGGTTGGTTCGGTTGTCTGATATGGACCGGTCGTCCATGCAATTAGATCGTCAAGGGTGGGTTGGTCATCCATACTGGGTCGTTCATCGGAGGGATTTGGTTTGACATATTTTTGTTATACATGAATGAATTTAAAGATTTTTTATTTACATTTGGTTTGAACCAATTAAGCTTGGCTTATGCAGCCATCCAAACCAAATGAAATAAGCATTATACCATTAGGTTTAACTGTTTGGTTGATCCATCGTATCATCTTTTTTAAGGGAGAACTGTAGGCAAGAATTTGATTTTATTCGGCAGTTCATTTTAAAAGCGTATTTAAGATTTTTAATTTATGAAAAATGAAAATAAATGGTATTTCTAAAACTCGCATTTTTATTCATGAGTGTGCGAATTTGTGTGTTGAAATTAGATTTGTTGAAGGCTGAATTTAAAAAGAAAAAAAAAAAATTGCAGCAATTTTGACAACTACTCTTAATGGTGTAAACAAATCGGGCGGAGCCCGAGTCGTCCTCGGCTTGACTTATTTTTTAACGAGTACAAGCTCGAGTTCGAACTGGCTCACAAGCCAATTTGCTTATCATGAAAGTCAGAAAACAATATCAATTAAAAATAGTATTATTATAAAAATGATAAATTAAATGAGAGATAAATAATAAAAAATCACTTTATACAAAATATAAATTATTATTTTTAAGCATTTTAATCATTTAAATATAATATATTTGATTTTTAATATATTTTTAGTATATTTTATATTAATATTTTATTTTCAATGCACAAACATGATGTAAGCTTGATTTAATGTCTTTAAACAACTAATTTGTTTTGCCAATCAAACCAGCTATGGTACCAACTAGATATATCTCCTCAAATAAACAAATAAATGTAAACAATTGGAAATGTCATGATCATGCATTATACTGTTATAATGATTTTTACAAAAAATGCCAAAGTCTGAATAAAAATAAAAACTTGGTACAAAAGTTACGTTAAAAGTCAATGAAGATTTACATACGTACCACTCAATTCTTATATATTTACATATCTAACACCTATATTATATATATTGTTCGCGAACAGTTCGTGTTCGATTCGTTCGATAAGTAAACGAGATGAACGTGAACAAATTTTATTCGTTTGGTTAGTTAAGCGAATCAAATACAAACAGTGATGCGTTCGTTCGTGTTCGAATCGTTATTGTTAGAAATATAAAATTATTATACATAAAAAATTTATGATATTTAACAAAATAATTTTTATAAATTATAATATATAATAAATTAATAATAATAATATATTAATATACTATATTAGTAATATACTAATATAGATTTTATATATTTATATAATATAAGTCATATAATTAATATAATATATTATTTATATATATTACTATTAGGGATGTCAAACTGGCTCATTGTTCGCGAATAGCTCGTGTCGGTTCGTTCGTTTAAAACACGAACAGTGACTTCACGAACAATTACAAACACGTGCTTATTTCAAACAAACTAAATTTCCAACGAATCGAACACGAACACACACACGCTCTTTGCGTTTACACCCCTATATATATATATATATATATATATATATATCACATTGTGACATTATGACATTTATATAATTATTTGAGGCAGATTACTAAATTTTAGAATAATATTTTCCTGCTAATAAAAATTCTCTATTTATTTATATTTTTATTTCATAAATTTCTATGCGTCAGTTCAAAATAAAATATGTATAGTTTTATTTCTATTCACATTCTTCCAAATTGGAGTCCGTGGCGTTGACGAAGAGTTGCAAAAGTGTATCATTAGTTGTTCCATCGCATTCGGGCATAAATTCATACGCTACATAATTCCAATTTATTTACATATCGGGGACTTAAAATTTTACTATTTACATTTATACCGCCCAAATCTTTCATATCACATCAAGTATTAACATTTTAATTTATAAAGAGTAAAATGCACATTTTGAACACATAGATAAGGTGGTGTACATGTAAAAATAAAAGTTAAATGTTAGGACTATAAATACATAAGAATTGAGTGGCGTGTATGTAAATCTTCCATAATTTAATGTTGCAATGGGAGGAAAGGTGTGGAAGAAGCTATATTGGAATGAAGTTGATTAAAGATATATCATCTAAATCTCTAAGTTTTTCTTAATGAAGAAAAGAGCACTATCTTCACTACTTTGCTTAAAACAAAAGCTATCTTGTGATGCTAGCCTGGCACAAAAATGAGCTGCCCTATTGCATTCCCTATGTATGTGACAGAAAAAATAATTGCTTGAAAGTGGCGAAAAAGGATAAGTCCGGTGCAGTTTTGGGTTGAAGTTGCCAATGCTTTGTCTCCATTGTGGTTTGCAAGAACTTCATAATGTTGGAATTGTCTCCTTCAACAATAATTTATTTGCATTCACGCATCCAGGACTCATAAATTTTCTGAATAGAGATAGTTAACTGCTTGAAGCTCAATAACACCACCGTCCCAATGCTCAAATTGTTGCCTAATCACCGCAAGACCATTACATTGATCATCTTGAATACCCGCCAAACCAGATGACAGAAGAGCTACGTCCACATATGGAGAACAACCCAAAGGGTTGGCTAGTATCCAGTGCTCCCATAATGGATAAAGGTGAATGTAAGCAAATCAAGTACGTTGGTAGCAATGATAGACAATGTACCATAAGTGAGACCATGCAGATTTGCGTTCCGCGCTTTCCAACAGTGGTGAATAGTATTGAAAAATAGTAGACAAGCAGTAAAAGATTTGTTCTTATTCTCTCGGAATTTGGTGATAGCATCATCGAAGATGTTAAAAATAATAATAATAAACCTCGAGTCCGAAAACCCCCCCGCATAAGAAAGCATGTGAGAACAATATGTGTATGATCCTCATTACCTGCACAACCTTATGAAGCAATTACTAGAATCTGAAAGCCTCCTTCTAATCAACCAATATTGCGTGGGGATTGCATCAAGTTGAAGGCGCCACCAAAATAGCCTCTCTTGCAAATGTAAATGAAGTTGTTTGATCCAGAAGAACTTTTCAGTTCCGAAAGGGAAAAGGGCAGCACGACCTAATCCAGTAATTGTTTTTCCAGTGAATTTCCTGTTCAATTCACACCAATCCTTATTGTTCTAATAATGGATGGGATACTCAAACTCCTGTCCACCATTTCCCCATCAAAGCTCTCGTGGATGACCAACTAGTTCTATTGGTCTTCTGTGAAAACGTCAGCCAAAATATGATTTTCCAGCTCAATAAAGTTAGCAGGGTAGTACCATTTTGAAAGAGTAGTGAAAATCCAAGCTTGATCCAGGATATTAATCTTGCGCCCATTAACTATGTTGCATGTAGCAATAGGATTGAGAGCTTTATCCCCGTCACCTAAAATCTTCTAAGTATGGGAGACATTACACTTATGTTTAAGCGTCTACACTGGGGGACCATAAAGATCTGAGAAATAAATGAATAAGGAAATTTTTATCCTTCGAAAAATTTCCGGTAAGCCAAGCCTTCAAAGGCCCTTTCCAAACTTCAAGAGCATGAAACCTGAGTGAAAAAGGCTAAGTCCGGTGCAGTTTTGGGTTGAAGTTTCCAATGCTTTGTCTCCATTGTGGTTTGCAAGAACTTCATAACATTGGAATTGTCTCCTTCAACAATAATTTCTTTGCATTCACGCATCCAGGACTCATAAATTTTCTAAATAGAGATAATTAACTGTTTGAAGCTCAATAACACCACCGTCCCAATGCTCAAATTGTTGCCTAATCACCGCAAGACCATTACATTGATCATCTTGAATACCCGCCAAACCAGATGACAGAAGAGCTACGTCCACATATGGAGAACAACCCAAAGGGTTGGCTAGTATCCAGTGCTCCCATAATGGATAAAGGTGAATGTAAGAAAATCAAATACGTTGGTAGCAATGATGGACGATGTACCATAAGTGAGACCATGTCGATTTGCATTCTGCTCTTTCTAACAGTGGTGAATAGTATTGAAAAATAATAGACAAGCAGTAAAAGAGTTGTTCCTATTCTCTCA